TGTTATCGTGCAAGATGAAAGTGCTCAAACAACAAAAGAAGATCAAGTGACTGTAACTACAAAGAGTGAAGGAAATGCCCCAATGCCACAAAGCCCTCCACTGGACTACAATAACTTTTCTTACTAGGGACTACTCCGCTCATAAACACCTTTGAGATACTCAGAGTTGAGGAACAGAGAAGTGAAAACATAATGCCTCATAATAAAGGGGAGGGTCCAAGTACCTCTCTCAATGACCTAGTGTATATGGAATGTGAGGGGCATTAAGGTATAAGCAAAAGAACTAAGGAACTACCTCAGAACTGGCAAAATCAACTTAGCAGGATTAGACAAGAGTCAAGCAACCCAACCTTATGGAGATACTTAACAACATTGCCCCTAGCGGGGGATTTCACAATAACCATCAAGAAGCAGACAATGGAAGAATATGGCTAATCTGGGATGATAACAGGTTTTTTGTAGACATGTTAGTTGTAGCAGCCCAAGTGATCCACTATAAAGTTATAGATAGAACTACTGCAACTGAACAGATGATGACAATTATCTATGGTTTTAACACTGTGGAGCAGAGGTTATCCAGGTTATCCTTATGGGCTGCATTGACTACATTGGGCCCTTCAATCAACCTCCATTGGTGGGTAGGTGGGGACTTTAATGTTGTATTGTATCCCATAGCCCTATCAGTGCCTCTGAGATCAAAGACTGTGAAGATTGTATACTCAACTTAGGCCTTAATGAGCTACACTGGAGTGGACAATACTATCATGGTCAAACAAGCAACATGGTAACGATAAGGTGTGTAGTAAAATTGATACAGCCTTGGGTAATGGAGATTGGATGATGTGTTGGGGCCATATCAAAGTGGAATATGATATTCCTAGTTTCTGATCATTCTCCAATATTACTACACCTGAAATCTGCATCCAAATCACCCAAGACTCCTTTTAGGTTCTTTAACATTTGGATTGAACATAGTCAGTTTGAATCAGTTGTCAAGGAGGTGTGGCAAAAACAGTTGGATAACAACCCCATGAAGAATATATGGATTAAGATGAACTGCTGAAGGCTTTGAAACCTTTGTGCAAAAAGCTCAATAAAGAAGAATTTAGCTACATCTCACAGAATATTGGCATCACTAGACAATAGCTTAAGCTTGTACAGGAGCAAATAGCTCAGCAGTATACAGATGAGCTGGTGATACAAGAGAAAACGACAACTCAAGCATTGAAAAAGTGGTCTTTAATAGAGGAGAGTGTAAAGACAGAAATCTAGAATTAAATGGATCAAATTGGGTGATTCAAACACCAAGTACTTCACAGCAGTAATCAAGGAGAGAACAGTCAGGAAACAAACAATGGAACTCAATACAATAGCAGGAAATAAGATTACTAATCCAAAGGCTATAAGAGAGGAAATCATCACTTTTTACAAAGCCTCATGGGGACCTCAGCCAAGGAACTACCTGCTATAAACAGGTTGATTATGCATAAAGGACCAAACTTAAATCATCAACAACAATTGGCATTGTGTGAGGTTGTTAACACTGCTGAGATTTATGATAGCCTATGCTCGATTGGAGATGGCAAGGCACCTGGGTTGATGTGTACAATGCAGTATTTTTTAAAAAGACCTGGCGTATAATTAAGGAAGAAGTGAACCATGCTATTTTAGCATTCTTCACAACAGGAAAGCTATACAGAGCTCTTAATTGCACTACACTCACATTGATCCCTAAGTCTAAGAATCTTCTCACAGTGAAAGAATATAGACCAATTTCCTGCTGCACTGTTCTATATAAAATTATCTAAAAAGTCTTAGCATCAATATTACAAATGGTGATGCCTGACATTATCTGTGAAGCACAAGCAGGCTTCATACTAGGAAGGAAAATAGCAGATAACATCATCTTGGCTCATGAGCTAGTCTAGGCTTTCATTAGGAAGCATATATCTCCTAGGTGTATAATCAAGATTGATCTCCAAAAAGTTTATGACACAGTTGGATGAGGGTTATCTGGCACATGTATTGGAGGAATTGGCTTTTCCCAAGAAATTCATTGAATGGATTATGGAATGCCTTAGAACAGTCAACTACTTTATCTTGATCAATGATGAGCCAACTGAACCATTTGATGTTGAAAGGAGCTTGAGACAAGGGGATCCAATATCCCAATATCCTCTTTCCTTTTTACCATAGCAATAGAATATCTTAGCAGGCAATTTAACAATTTGAAAGATGAGAAGGCCTTCAAATTTCACCCCAAATGTGCTAAGCTGGGGATTACACATATGTCCTTTGCAGATGACCTCTTACTCTTTGCTCATGGAGATGTGTGGTCTGTATATCACCTTCATCAGTGCTTTCATCAATTTTGCTCTGCCTCAGGCTTACAAGCTAACCTAGGTAAAAGTTCATTATACTGTGGACGAGTGATACAGGAAGAAAAGGATAAAATATTATAGCTGCTGCAATACACCTATGGGGATCTACTATTCAGATACCTGGGCATACCTCTGTCAATTAAGAAGTTGACCACAGAACAATGGCAGCATTTTGTTCGGAATATAGTTAAATGGGAGGATACAATTAGTCAAATTGATCATATTTGGCATCCAAGCCTATTGGTCTCTACTCTTCATGATCCATGCCAAGGTATTGGACATCATAGATGCATACTGTCGTAGTTATGTTTGGTCAGGAGTCAACACAATAAGTAAGAAGGCTTTGGTTGCATGGGAAAAGGTTTGCTCCCCTAAATATGCAGGTGGACTCAACCACATAACTTAAGGTTATGGAATAGAGTGGCAGTAGTAAAAACTTGTAGGGACTTGGTACATAAAACTGACAAGTTATGGATCCGATGGATTCATAGTTATTACATCAAGGGGCAGCAGTTTGCTAACGTGAAGTTGCCACAATGTGCATGATGGATGGTTTGGAAGATCTTTGATGCAAGAGCTACCATGATGCAACTACTGGACCAACCTGCACCAGGGAAAAGCTTGATTAAGCAGACTTATTTGCAGCTCCTAGGAGACCTACCAAGAATACCATAGAAATGCCTAATGTTCTCCAATGATGCTAAGACCTAGAGCACGATTTACCATGTGGCTTCACTTGCATGAAATAGTACTCACTGCGGATAGGCTAGTAAAATAGGGACTCAATGTGAAACTAAAGTGTAGCCTATGCCAAGAACACATTAAGACAAATGGACATCTCTTAGTCCAATGTAGACTCTCAAGGAAGATATGGGACAGGGTACTGCTATGGGGGAAGAAGAATACAACTTTTCCAACTGCACGGATGCAATATCAACAGTGGACTATTGAGAACGCCAAAGGAAAATCACCAGCTGCCTAGATTTTCAAGTTGCTATATACAGAAATAGTGCAAGCTATATGGATAGAAAGGAACCGAAGGATCTTTGAACAGAAGAGTAAAGATTGGGTCACCATTGCAAAAGTGATAGCTTATATGTGTTGTGCTAGATCACCTGTTAGAACTAGGAGTTATTTTCAATCTTGTTCATTTTAACTTTCCTAAGATGGTAGATAGAAGAATTGATAATTTCTTGTTTTTAGATAGTTAGTCAAGTTTAATTAACTATGGCTTTGTACAGATCTTCCTTGGTTATTAATAAATGTTTAATTACCCAAAAAAATCTTTAACCACAAAATTATTATGAGAACTTGACTGGAACACTATCTGAATAGCATTCACACCTTATAGCTCAACTTATAATCATGGTAGATTCCTCATTTAATCATATAATTTAACGGTCGGAGACGAGTCTGAATATATTGAACAAGAAAATATAGGAGGAACAATGAAAAGTGGAAACCAGCAGAAATACAGATGATATTAGAACTCTGCTACAAGGGTGACAAAGGCATGTATTACGAAGTCTGGTAGCTCAATGCAGATGATACTATTTTCTGGTGCTGCTTTCTGACAATAGAACTAGTTACACCAGCAGTTACATGAATAAAGAACTCTAGATGACGATCGTTTTTCCATTAGGACTCCAGAATGAGAATATATATGCTTAAGTTTTTCTCATCACTCCTTTCTGAAATGACAACTACTCTAGTATCTTGTTCTTACTATTATTCTGGAACATCAAGCAATTTTGTGTCTCATGCATGAATGTGTTCCTTTTTCGCTGTGTTTCTGGTTTCGATAACATTCAAGCATGTTACTGACAAAATCAAATGAAAGAGCCTATGACATACATACAGAGGAAGGGGATGCATTGCATGTTATAGTGCGAAACAGACTTCAGAAGCCGTGTCACGTTTTGCTTGCAAAACTATCATCGTGGCACTAGAACTACCATTTGGCTTGACTTCTAGCCATTTCCATATGTCAACAATGTTGGATTTCAAACCCAAATAACAGAAGCCGTGTCACATTTTGCTTGCAAAACTATCATCGTGGCACTAGAACTACAATTTGGCTTGACTTCTAGCCATTTCCAATTTATATGTCAACAATGTTGGATTTCAAACCCAAATAACAGAGGAAATTAGGGACGGCCACTGAGGAAACTTCCAAAATATATATATATATATATA